ACGAGAACTTTTACTGATGGTTTTAAAAAAAGTGATGTCACCTGACTGACACTTACTCTGTATAATATACTCTTTCCCCTTTGGAGAACTAAGGACAATTTTAAGTTGTAGTAGACATTTCCACTACAAATGTTAGCTTCCGATTTTAAGCAAAGGCAATATGTGTACACTGTTTGTTACGAAGTGTTACTTTAGAATGCTAATTTCAAAACACTCCTAAAGTATCACCAGTAAAAATGAATGATCAAAAATATTTTGAAGGCCGAACTTCTAATTCAAATAAATTTCAATACTTGGATTTGTAGTGCACACAAGTACATCACTAATGTTAAAGTTCGGCTAGGGAAAATGAACGGTAACAAATCACTTGAACTAGCTTTTAGAATTTTTCAGTGGGATAGGAGAGACCTCATCACCGAACTATTCTTTCATCATTTGGGATGGAGCGAATCGGTAGTATACTTTTACTGGTTCAGCTCTCATGTTCAAGTCAAGTGAATCTGCCTGATGCCTACTTGGATAAACCACTCTGTTGTAAAATGGATGATGAATTTACAAGTCATTTTGAACTTCATCGTCTCTGTTCATATATTTCTCAAATGAGTAGTTTAGTAACTACATAGGTGAAGTGTCAACAGAGTTTTCGTTAGAATTCAACCAACCAAGATCACAGATTCTGTTGTCTGACACAAACTATACTACTTACAATCATGAAGTGAATTACCAGTGTAGGTCTCATACGGAAAGTAACTATTTATACAGTGGTTGTTTATTTAACTGAATGAAAGTCGTCATGAAATGCAACTACGTCTGCAGGTCAATACATCTAAATCTTACCCGCTGCGCTTATCTATATCTGTACCTACATTATATCACTTCGACATTGTGGTCATTGAGACGTAAAAATCACTAAGATGCATTGTTGCTTATTCTGATCTGGGCTTTAAAGAAGTGATTCGGATACTTTGCAATCAACAAAATATGTTCATAACACCACTGAGAAGATGAAACAACATTTTCTTTAAAGTGTAAACAGATTTAACCTTCAAGCAGAGATTAATGTAAACTGTAAACAATGGTCAGATAAATCAGTTAGTGTCATCAAATATCAAACTCCTGAAAAACAATTTCGCGCGCAGATTTTTTTATCCCATAACTACTGGACAAATGATAGTAGCGCCACAAACATAAAATGACCACTCGATATATGCATATTTTTCACAATATAAAATTGTTTCATTAGTAGCCTAATCTGATGACACTTAAATGAAGATATGTAATTCTTAAATTATTTCTGTTTCTTTTCATTGTAAACTATCTATGACCAGCTATTGTAAAGTTTAACCGCCTGGTTAACTACTACTGCTACGAGGTAAGTTTCATATGTGTATTAGAGAGAAACATGAAGTTTAGTTAGTGTCACTTTTCGACAATTTCGTTTTAAGTTTAAGACAGTCAGTCGATCAACATTGACAAAGAACTTGTCACTACTTCATAACGGTCTAAGTTATTACATGTCACACCACTATTTGAAAGTAAATGATGAATAGACAGAAAACAAAGATGTAGAAATAATATGATCATCAGTTCAGTAAATGCAAAAAAGAAGAAAACTTAAGAAAAGTGAATAATGAAATATGATAAAGGGATGAGAATGAAAATAAAGCGTGATTTTTATCTGCACTACTATTGCAGTGGGCCTTGCTGATCAGAATGGGTATAGGTAGTATATGTTGAGATGGTGGCAGAAACATAGGCAATTACCAGTAATGGGTAAGGATTCCGTAAAGAGAAATGCAAGAGACAATGTTAGGCGTGTTAAGTGTAAATCAAGGTAGAAGCAGAAGATGAAATGAAACACAATATGCAAATGACTGTCTTAGTGGAAGGTGTACAATATTTGATGACTACTGTACAAAATGAAGATTCCCTGGCCTGCAACTGGTCGCAGTGTTGTGTCGGATGAGACCCCAGCTGAGTACGTTCAAAAGCAGCGATACCAATTGTAGAAAATGACACGACGGAAACGAATGTTTATTATTGGTACCTTGTACAGTAGTCATCAATATTGTACACCTTCCACTAAGACAGTCATTTGCATATTGTGTTTCATTTCATCTTCTGCTTCTACCTTGATTTACACTTAACACGCCTAACATTGTCTCTTGCATTTCTCTTTACGGAATCCTTACCCATTACTGGTAATTGCCTATGTTTCTGCCACCATCTCAACATATACTACCTATACCCATTCTGATCAGCAAGGCCCACTGCAATAGTAGTGCAGATAAAAATCACGCTTTATTTTCATTCTCATCCCTTTATCATATTTCATTATTCACTTTTCAGTTCTGAGTCATATCATCAGGATACAGCCTCCAACAGAAAATATCACTTGCCATATGAACATCAACAAGAAAGTTTACATTTCTCTACACACTTCAGACAGACAATCAGGGACTTCATGAAGCGATATCAATTTCGAGTCTCACCATCCCAATGTTCTCCTGATCAAAACTCACACAATCTAACACAACAGATATCCCAGTCACTTCAGTTCATCATGGTTCACAAACACATTGACTGACTCACCTTCACTGTGCTTGACTCTACACCGTGCTACAACAACACACAGACCATGGTACGAAAGTAATAGTAGTCAAACACCTAGGGCATTCTCATGGCTTTCTACTTGAATGGTCATTTCTACCGTCATTGAGTAGGACAGAACGAACTACTGTGATCCACAACTGAATGTCTCCAGGTTATCGTACATCTCATCAACACCATGGTTGGTGTAAATTGAAAAAAGCCAAACGGATGTTTCACATCCTCACCTCACCATTTCAACAACCACCAATTCATCAATACTGATCCAACTTCCCAAGGCAGTGGAGTGATCAGTGCACACAACCACTTCGCTCCCGCTTGTTAGACGATGCATTGATGGAGACCAGTTCTGGAACAACAATTTGCTGTTGTCAGAATTTCTCAAATTGATACGAGGTGGTGATTGAAGGTAACATGCAAACCGCTGCTGACGTAGAATTGGGAATAATGGCATAAGAACACGAGCCTGATGCCTTACTAACTGAGTTATGAGAGTGAGCTGTCGGTCAGGTGTTAAATTTACTTCACTTCAGTTGCCCTATATTTGTTCGATAGTCATTTGAGTGCGTGATAAGTAGCTGTTCGTCCAGTCTCACCACACGGTGTTCAGTCAGATCTTTGTGTTCTGATCGAATATGAGATTATGGCTATCTCACATGGGTCCACTGGTAGACGTTTTTAAAAATTGTCACTGAGTGTTTAAAAGACTCTGCATTCTATGAGTATCTGCACACTTCAAGGCGAGTAAGGAATGGCTTGCCAGGAGATTAGTTCATGAAAAGTTAGATGAGGATTTGAAGACCTCCATAAACAGGTCTTTGACAGAGATGTATATGACTGAAGAGAGATGGTATCTTTGATGGACATTGATGAAAGTATAAAACCCACTTAATACCCAATCGGAGGCTCTAACACGACTAAGGGATTTCAAGCACGAAAATTTCAGTAGCTTGACTTATTCACGAGGCTCTCTTCTTAGTAAGAGACATGATCAAACTACCTGTTGATCAACAAAGCCAAATCCTGGCTTCAGGACAAGAAATACAGCCATTACCATATACCGGTAAGTGCGACTGTTTTTCGATGTCTGGTAAGCGATGAAGATCTAGTTAATACAACCAGCTGTCTATTTTTCATGGATTTCGCTTCTCTCTAGCACAACTTAAGAATCCGATGGTTGTAGAACCCAGAATTTCAGAAACTCCATCAGAATGATTCCTATATAGTTATCATGAGAGAATTTCTCTCATTTTCTGAAGGCCGGGACAATCAGCAATTTAGACCGGTTTGGCGGATCATATCTAATTCGTATACTCCAGCCTCATTCAGTCTAATCAATAAAAACTTGACCACTTCCTTGAATATTTCTGGTGTCAGCTAGTTCAGATCTATTACCCCTCCTGATAGCTTTCCCAAATTCCAAGAATGTTGGAGTCCCTACCTTCATGTTTCACTGAGAATGTGGCTAAATAGCAAATAATCAAATAGTAGCTGGAGGTCAGTTTAATTGTCCTTGAAACAGTTCTACTCACTTTTCTGCGAGTAAATTATATACCCGTCCTTCTCTTCTATGGTCTCATAATTCATTGACATTTTCCCCTGTTTCATTCATGTCTAAATAATTGCCTGCTGTTATTCATTACTGGTACCTTTCTTAGCTATTTACTTACCACTTCTCACTGTTGTTGAGTAAACCTTTTTCTCAGTCTGAATTCGAGTTGCTTTCGCTACTCGTTGTTCTTTGAGCCTTTAGGAGTGTGTTCATACCAATCTGCTAGTTCACATGAAACTGCTGAAATCCACTAACCCTTCCTTGCCTTCTACTAGAGACCAGTCAGGTCATTAATGCTGTATTTATTTTTGTGATCCAATAGCTGTCTAGCCATTCTCTCCTTAGAAAACAAACATAGCATCCTCATCATTGAGTAGAGCGTGACTACAGCTTTTTACGTCTATGTAGGCATTGATGCATGTGTACCCAAAACAGTACTTGATCGCAGTCCAGTAAATTACTTCAGATAAGCAGAAATCTTCCATTAACTTTCTTCGAAGATATATATATAGTTTGTCTGTCCGTCATTGATCTCAGTTCGGTAATAAGGCTGAGACAATATTATACAACACTAGGACATAATGGATGCAGCATAAATGTTTTTCTGAAAAACGGACTGAAACACTTCGTTAATTGTCAAACATACGACAATGATCAAAAAGAGGGCAAACACTTTTGTTTTGTTTCAGTTTGTATTATCAGTAAGACAGCTACAAAACGGAAACTCTTTTTGCATGATGCGTTAGCTTTCCACACTTTGTCTAGCTGTTTTAGTGAGAAGAAAGATATCAGATAAGATTAGACTTTCTACAGGATTTATTCACTGAAGAATTGTCGCCGTAGACAAAGGCAACAACATAAACTTGATTACCATCAGTTAGTCAATTTATATAGGAAAGGAAGCAATTTGCTTCATCTGGATTGTTTACTGTTCATTTTGCTACGTACTGCTCATAAGAGTGAACAAGTTTGCGATCGTTTCTCAAGAAAATGCCCAGAACGCTGATAAAGCTTAAAGTCATCTGATTTCATAAATTTAAATGGAGAATAATGGATTGTTTTATTCTTCTGTTTCCCATCGTTTCTTTTGATATAGGCAGTATGGAAGTTTAAATTCTGATCATACTGTTCAAGTGCACCTGGATGCAGGTTGAAGTAGATCTCCTGCAGTGGTAACGAACTCTTACCTTCCATGCTGAGATCACTGTCTTCAGTTAAAATCTTGTGTGAAATAATATAACCGTCAGTTGTTCCTATGAACAGACTTTGATCATCAATTGGATCTTTTGCTATAGACGTTATGATATGATGAACATCGATGGAAGCAATAATGTTAGCTGTTTTTGGCCGAACTAAATACACTGCGGATTGGTATGAGAAAATGCAGAGATTATCTTCAAGTATGTAGCCATGGAATATGACTGAATCAGAGTCAGTGGATTGTTTAGTTTTTTGTATTGTAAAACCAGGTTTGGTCTCTCTGAAATAAACTTCTGAAATATTTCTTGTTCCTGATGGTAGAAAATAATACTTACCAGAGGTGGAGTCGTAAAGTTCATGCTTTCGAAAAGAATAGTGAAGAGAGTGAAAAGGTGACTGTTCACTTAATCCTATAATAGATCTCAATATTACAAGGATCCACTCATTTGGTTGGCCAGTTTGATTTGTTTGCACAATTTCAGCTGAAAGTATACCTTTGGGAAGTCCTTTACCTGTAATCCAATTGGTGCAAAGATTTGATTTCATATATTCTTTAAATTTCGAAAAATATATAAGAAGCTGAGAAGAATCATTTTGAATAGGTTCACAGTTTAAGATGTGCAATTCATAATCCACGTTGTCAGTTAATAATGCTTTCAGTTCTTTTGTATGCGTATACCATAACCTCCCATTCCAAACTGTTGAGATTTGTTCAGTAGGTGGAGATAAGCTCCAGAATGCTAGTTCTTGGCATATGTAAGAGCCTTGTTTCAGTTCATCACAACCTTCTATTTGCATAGCTAAATGCTGATCATCTGATGTCATGAAAGGTCTGGATCCAGAGACTATGGATGGTATTTTATTGGATATAACTGGTTTTACAACAGCTTTATCTCCATTAGTATCAGTTTCATCAATCTCCACACTTAAAATTATGTAGGAGTATCGCTGATTGTCATTATTAATCAGAGATAAATCTGGTATTAAATGAAGGAAACTTCCTCCTTGTTTAACTCTGCCAATATGAAATCCAACACGTTCACCATATTCAACAATAATAGACCTTTTAGATAAATCCCAGATTAAGTTAGCATTTCCTTCTGTTTGTTCATCTATAACTAGACCAACCAAAGCATATTTACCACATGAGCTTAGCACAGCTGATCGGACAACTCCGTTATGCGTAAACATGTCAGTAAGGTGTCCACTGCGTAGATCAAACACACCTAACTCGTCACTATTTTGACAGGTTACCAACAATAAACTCGATGACTGTGAATAGATTAGTCGATCAATTGGTTTAGTTAAACAGTCCATTCTGTTACTATCGTTTAAAAGTGAACCAGATGATAAGTTAGAGCTTTGTTTTAAAGCAGCATTTGTGAGTGCTAATGGTAAATTCCATAAATTTAAAATTTTCGATGTACTTATATAACCAATTAGCTGTCTTTCTGAAGAATCGATTAACAAGCGTGAAATAACTCCAACAGATGAAGTTAATGTAGTCAGCTGAACACCTAAACGTATATCCCAGATCAAAATGTTACGAAATATTGCAGCTAAAACAATTTGATCATTCAAAGCAAATTCAGCAGCAGTGAAAACTAACTTTTGATATTTTGAATTTGGTAGACGAAATTCTCTTGGTATACCAACTGGACGTGTAATATGTACAAATACAGCATCATTTTCATAGTCATACACTAATACATTCTTCATAGCATGCACCAGTAGAAACGAGTAGTATCTTGACAGTTTGATATCAATAATATTATCTTTTGTGATTAAATCATCATAAGAAATACGAAATGACTTGTTGATTCGACCTAATTTATTGATTAGTAAGTGTAAAACGCATGGATTATTGCTGTCCAGTATAAACAAACGTCGGTTATCGTTGCTGACTAATATTTTACGCGGTACAAAATGTAAGTCAACAGAGAACTGTTGTTCACCAGATTTAAGGTGAAATCCAAGTAAATGATCGACTGAATTGACAAAAAATAAGTCAACACTGCTTTTTATATCTCTATCATCATCACCATCTTCATAATTATTTTCTAACCCTATTGTTTTCTCACTTGTTTTATTCACCTGTACAAGTTTAACTAATGTAGCACAAGGTGTTGGACTTATTAAGTGTAACGGTTTTCCTGTAGTCAATTCGAAGATAACAACGTGGTTGATAGTACCAGCAGCCAAACTTTCAGGAATGTGATACAATAAAAATGGTTTATTGACCAAGTTCTTGGCCTTGAATTTATCTGTAGGATTGATGCTGTCATTGCTCTTACTGTAAAAATGCTCATCTTCTTGGTGTTCCTCTAGAAATTCAACATATTCACTAGGATTTAAGAAACTACGTGTATTTTTAGTCTGTACGATAAATCCCACATAGTCATCTGTGACATCTAAGAAGATGATCTCCATACTTAGTGTTTCCTCAGTAGGACACTTAGACCAAACCGGATTGATCCAAAGACCTGGATTGATTTGACCAATCAACGGCACACATCCATTGATGTCTATATCAATTTGGTGAATCTTTAGCGTATCCCGCTTAGCCTCATCTATGATAATAGCATATTTACCATTTGGTGTCAAGTATAAATATCCTGAACTTGATTTCCATGAAGGAATTTCCTGTTCTCGTTCACAGTCGTAACGATAAATAACTGGATCATTTTTTAATTTGATCAGTATTTGATTGTTCAACTGACACATAGTACCGCCTTGGTGTAAATTGTGCAAACTTAACAAGGGTGTTGGACACGTAATCTGTCCAAGAAGTGAATTGCCTGGAGTAAGTGGATAAGAGTATAACGGTAATAAATGACTTTGTGTGTAAATTTTAACTTCGCACTGTTTTACAAGTAGATCTATCAGTGACATACATTCAGATGGGAAACTTTCCCCGCTATGGTTTGGGATTCCTGATGTGAATGGAAGCAAATAGCCGATCATTGTTGTTGGTAAACTGTCTGGGTTATTGTATAGACTTTTATTCAACTTCGTAAGTATATTCTGCATAACACTTGACTCAAATCTGATTTTCATAAGGCTTTCCGAAGAGTTCGACTTGTCATCTAGGCTCGATAACATATCTATGAGAATTTCCAGATCATTTAGAACTGACTGAACACCTAATGCATAAATCTTCCCATGAAGCCATTCTAAACAAAATACTGTTCGATAACTGAACTCTCTGAAATCTTTGGAGTTTAATAAACAAATGATGAGTGTCGAAGATAACGTACATCGTAAGCTAAGATTCGTGAATCACAGTTGTTTTCCACCGGCTTTGAGAAATCATTTGAATACGTTGGAAGTCTGAAGTAAATTAAATGAAATGGAACAATATCCAGTTTTTGTGGAGATATATTTTTCTTTTTTCCAAACTTTTCACTTGAAATGTAACTTTTCAACAAACTAGTGATCATATTCATAGTTCTGACGTCAAGTTTGTCCCGAATGGAAAGTTTGTAGACAAAATATCCATCCATTGAGCGCACTGAATACTGATGTCCAAGCCGGGCAGTCAAACTTTTTCCAAAAGAATATGTCAGTAATAATAAACTAGCAGCATCACAAAGTTGAGAATTGTTTTGTGAACACTGTTCACTTACTTCACCTGAAAGAACATCGTGATATAAACTTAGAATTTCTTGCAGTTCATTTAGAGTCACTCCTGGAGCACAAAGTTTTTCGTTGCTCACAGAAATGAGCAGACAGACGATATTTTTGACTGCATCGTAGCCAAAATATTTTCCATAATCGGTGATAAAATCGTTTAAATGTGTGTCAGTTAGTTTGGACATTAGGTCATTCCCTGTAATACTCTGTGACTTTAGATTTGGCAACAGGCATACACCTGCAGCACAGGCTAAAATCGGGAGGTCTTTTCTTTCAGAAACTAACTTGAATAACTCATGAACACCTATCAATTGGTCATTTTTCAGACAACAGTTTAATTTAGTTAAGTTATGCATACAGTTTGCAAATCCTTCTGATAAAGCATTTGAACATATTTCTAGATTTAGACTGGTTGTAGGTAATAAAACACCAACACTGATTTCGGTTCCTTTCTCTTCCTTATCGTTCACGCCATCTTTCAGTTTTGTCATTTTCAAATTACCAGATAAGATTAGCTTTATCCCACTAGCTAGACGTCTTGGAAGTTGACTAGCTTGCAGGATAGGTAGTAAATCTTCCATAGAATCTTGATAACCACCAACTTCAAGGTAATCTATGCCACCAATTATAATGATCATTGATTTTAAAGTGTGTTTTCCCTTTAAACATGATAATGAATACAGGAAGGAGGCTAAAGTTGTAACTTTCAATAAGTCTCGACCGATCTGTAAAGAAAAGCTAATCTGTTCAGCTAAATCTTGCAAAGCATCAGTAATCAAAGTTGGCTTTGTGTATATTCGAGTAAGTATGAGATAGTCGGTTGACTCCATAGACAGCCGGCTTTGCACCTAAGGAATGAGATAAAAATCCAAAAAGATTAAAACGTTTAAGACTAAAAATTATGGCAAACAATAAGATTGTTGGTGGCACTGTTTAGATTGTATCACGTCATACTTTTATATTGTGAGTTAATTACCAACTCTTCACTACATATCCCAAATCGCTATTAGGAGTCTACTGATTTCAGTTAAATGCGGAATATACATTTCATTAAAATCTCATTGCGTTCTGAAAACAATAAGCAACCTTTCAGTCATATATTTTGTGTAAAGGCATGATAAGTTTCGACAGTTTGGGAACCAAATTTACTCAGTGAATTATTAGATGATTTTACCGTACAACCTCAAAGCAAGAGTACAATCCAGGAATTACTGGCTCGATCTAACGACAATCCAACCGCTGCATGCTGCAACAAAGATTCGACCCCAATACCATGTCCTTCTGATAATCAGGATGCTATTCGCTAAGCTACAGAATTTTCGCCCACTAAACAACAAGCATAAGTTGCCAATAAAGCTTGTCATATTCTCACTCATAACCTGAGGAATTAACCAAGTCAGGTGTGAAAAAAATGCTAGCCGGTGACACTAGATGATTGTCAGACTTTATTGAGGATTGATAAAAGTGGTAAAATGTGGACGAGTGAATTCTAAGCCAGCGGTTGGATGGCAACGTGCCGACTGCAAGAACTGGGTTAGGTCTTTCACGAGATCGTTGGTGTGCACTGCTGAACAGTTCTATGTTAGGATGAAACAAATGCCCAGTGCTATAATTTTCTCAGTGTTTCTTCAACTGATGCCAGTAAAGGATGAAAACACCTTCAAAATGTTAGTATTGGAAATACCAAAAGGTAGAAAGATACAGGTGTAATCAGATAAAGAGTCTTTAAATGAGATGAAATTCTGAGATTCCACTACTAGCAGCAGCCCCAATCATGGTTTTCATTCAGGCGAATGCATCCTACATTCTTTGTAAAAACTTATATGTTCTTATTCAAGCAGCTATGGACTTTTGAAGTTAAGTGGTGTGGTCAAAAATTTGAGTCTTAGTATATAAGCTATCTCATGAATAACTGTGGCCTACAGTTATCTGTTGGAAAGATTTACATGCTTTGCTTACTCATAGAAGAAAAGATAAAAACTTATCCGCTTCCTCAAGATATTTTAAAAAGACAAAACTGTTGCATAATTCAGTGCCTCGTATGCACATAGGAATGACATAGAAAGAGATCCAAATAACATTTCGCTATCATTACTGAAGTATGAATTTTCTGAACGGAATGAAGTAGATCATCAGCAATATCTTTTATGAGAAATTATATTTGATAAATACTTACAGCCATCCTGACCTTTGTGGACAAAGTTCGATGTGTCCATTGGTAGTAATCATTGTCAAGTTTGAAATTTCGAAAAGTAGAGCACGAAGGTCTTAAATTTAGGAGTGACTTTAAAGGACACCAGAGCAACAACAAAAATAATCAATTAGACTTTTCTATTTTATAAAAATCTGTCTTTCCATCTGAAATGAAGGAACCTAATTGGTTGTTTCAGTCGTTGCTAGGGTGGCCTTTAAAGTCGCCTAAATTTAGTTACTCTCAAACTTAATTGTCTGTCAAACATGTATAAAAAATATGTCTGCTTTTCTAAAAAATTATTAAGTCGTTGTCAAAACCATTTGAAAGGATTTGTTACGGGTGTCTTTAAAAGCCATCCTGGGGACTGCTGTAATAACCAATCAGGTCTCGGTATTCTGTTTAGAAAGGCAGTTTTTTCATAAAATATCGAAGCCTAATTGGTTATCTCTGCAGTTGCTGGAATGGCCTTTAAAGTCACTCTTTATTACTATTTGAACCTGTCCACTTCTAGAATCGATTTATCATTGAATAATAACTTTGACAACGTGTGGAAAATAAAAACACAACATCATTATACTAAAGTCTGACAGGAGTTTAATAGTAGTACATTGATTGATCATTGGAGAGTTAACAACTGCATGTTATCTAGTCCTAAGTGCTGATCGATTTCTGTCGATCATTTTGCAATGTGGTCACCAAGCTAGTTGACTCAACATCGCAATATAGTTTGATAGATGTCAGTCAGAGGTCGGCCGCTGACCGAGTAACTCAGTTGTAACTTCGCTGACTGTAGCAATGGGTGACACAGGTTTGAATCTCGCTTGGGTCATCGGTTCCATGGGATTACAAAGCACCTTACTAAATAGCAGGCAGCATGAAACCTGGGTTCAGGACTTCCTGCTGATCGCCTCCTTCCAACTAACGTCTATTTAGTAGTGGTTAGAGCGGTAGGACAGAGAGAAGAAGGTGTACCATAATCTATAGTAGCTAAGAGCTCCTCAAGTTGTTGTCTTCATATTTACAAATTGTTGGTATTAGATGTTCACTCTTCTAGCTTGAAGAACGAATTAAAAGTCTTATGCTTAAATATTTCAAGTAGTATGCTCAACAAGAAAGGCAACATTAACATCCAGGATATAAATTTTGAAGTCAGTGAAGTGAACTTATTATCTAGAACTAATGATAAGTGATTGATGATTGAACAAAGGAACATTTTCGGAATAAAGTGAATTCATTCTACACCACAAGCAATAATTAACTCCATCTAACGTTGTTCACTGCAATTCAGAGTTTTCAGATACTTTTCTTCGGTATAAAAAAAAACTAAAAACAGAAATATGTATTCATCTACAGTAAGCAAAGGAAGGAAGTCGTCTCTTTCACCTACCTTGGTAGCATCTTTTTAACTACAGTTGGCGGCGGCACAGATGAGGATGTCAGAGCCAGCCAGGATCGGAAAGACAGAAAGACAGGCCTTCATTAACCTGAAATCACTGTGGAGATCTACTGCACTCCACTCAACATAAAGAACAAGGTCTGGCCAGAAAGAATAAGCAACAAGGAACTCTGGCCGGGTAACAAACCAGCCAAGAACCTATTGTCCAACAAGTATGCAGAAGAAAGTGGAGATGGATTGGATTGGGGATACATTGGGAAGACCAGTTGTGGACACTACACGTAAGGCCAGGCTCTCGAAAGGAACCCAAATGGGAAACGACGAATTGGGCGTCCGAGGGTCATATGGAGGACATCGTGGGAGGAAGAAATGGAAGCTTCTGAATAGACGTGGAGCCAGATTAAAAAGACTGAAGAGAACAGAGTGCAGTGGAGGCGTGTTACTGAGGCCCTATGTTCCACTACGAATCCAAGGGACAAATAAGTAATTATAATGGCAGTAAGAAACAAAATTTACTTCTCAAACGCAATCTCATGTATAACCTGTTATAACAGTGAAATCAATCTTAATTATGGAGCCTTTGTAATTGAAATGTTGACTTTGTCCTATTACCAGAAAACTGAGAGAACTAACCTCTTGAAAACAACAAGCTGCAACAGCGTTTGCCAGACAGAACTGTTCTTCATCTGTCTTATTTGTGACCTCAGAGGTACTGTAAACTAACATTGGAACTTGAGCTGCTGGGTCAGTGTCTTCTACGTAACATAATAAAGTCTCTATTTCATTTTTGTATGAACTGCCAATGGGTATTAGCCAGTCAACGTAGTTCAGTGCATTCCATACATTATCCCACAACGTGATACGTTTTTGAAATTCTCTTGCTGCATAAGTATGTTCATTCTGGATCTGTGGTAAAATGATTGTTGCTTCAGGCACGGAAATTGGGCTGTCGGCTTCCTCTTGTGAATGTAAAAGTGGAACAGCAATCTCTGTATGATGTGACTTGAACGAACCAAGTGATAGGTTAGGTAACATTAAGGCCGTTTTAGTACTTGCTCTTCTATCGATTGCATCATGGGCGAGTTTCCTGACACGTGATACAAATTCACTGAGATAATCTGCATGGAACTGAAATAAAAGGAAAGACTACGCTTAACTATGTGCAAGTAGTGTCGCTTCATATTTGAATTTTTATCAGCCAATCAAATTATATGAATGAAGGTATGTTGAGAAAACAACCAGCTGATTGCAAGTATACAGTTAAGTGTTTTGATAATCAGTCAGTGTAACCAAGGGGAATCCTGGTAGCAAGCCGTATGAGTACAGTGTAACGAATTATTTTTTTTTGCTTTGAAGTAAATTTACTAGGGAAACAGTATTGAAATTTACGTTTCATTTCACAACTTCCTAAATTCATGGGTGATTTATAGGTTGTTTAAGTACTTTATGACTCTATAACTGTTATTCAGTAAATAACTCCACATGAGTTTTTTGTAAGTACAATCATGCTCCTGTCATATCCTACATAATAGCTGTACACTCGTGACTGATACAAGACAGGTCACCTTAAAGTAGTATTAGAAGAAATGAACCAATTTACTACAGCAAATGTCTTACACGACAAATCTGTCATTCGTAGAAACTGTTATTGCAATATATCACTTCCTTCATACGATAGATGATTGATATCTTGTACTTTGTCAGACGTGACTACCTCTGTGAACTTTATTTACTGTCTATATGTACGTTTACTTTAGAACACAATGATATTTCTTAGATTTCTACACAGATAGTAAGCTAAGTGAGTAGACATGGTAGTTTGCTGGATTAAGTGGAGGAACAATTTTTTGATGGGACCTAGATTTAATCCACGATAGCTTTTGTTGTCAAGCCATGAAATATGCTTATTTTACAAGAGATTTCGATACGAACCAATCACTCGCATTGAAATAGAGATGTCAGCTGCGAACCCTTTTCTTGTTAGTATTATGTTTTAACAACTAAGCTACATTCAGTTTTGAGGTTTGTAGGGATTTACTTATTGAAATCAGTTAAGCTACACCTTAAACATCGTTTGCAGGTAGTCAACCTACTCGCCTTATCTTGCGAATGGTCACCTACATTCCTGTTTTATCGAAATTCACTCGTGATATTCATGTATGAAACTGTAACATCATTTGTGAATAATATTCTAAGATTATCATCTCTACCTATGCTCCGAGGGATTGTAGCCCGAAAGCAACCAAGGATGAATTCCATCATGAACCTAGTGACCTTCTCAACCGAGTGTACTCTATAGATATCATAGTGCTAGCTGGGGACTTGAATGTGCAGGTTGGGGGTCTAGGCTCGAAGAAGAGTCGTTTAGGTGACCAGCTGGGACTAGTTGGCTACAGGTTGTATGATGGAGATCGTCTTCTGCAGTTTTGCACAGACCACAAACCGTTTATGTGCAGCATCAACTTCCGTCACAGCCCTCGCCGTTGCGCTACTTGGAGTTCTGCGTCTGCCACTCAAGCCTGGACTCAAATAAGTCATACGACAATCAGCTGTGAATGGTGTGAGTGTTGATAGGGCTTCTGCTCCATATGGAGTACTCATCTGGACTCTGGTCATGCTTTGGTGTGTACTAAGCTCAGCTTGCGTTCTGGTGGTCATCAAAACCGTTGTCCTAAATAGGTCAATGCAAGCAAATTAGTTGCACCTAACATTGGAGCTAAATACCAATCTGAGCTGGATTTGAGACTAGCCACTGATTGTCCGGAAAGTATAGACAAGTATTAACTGTACTTGCAAGACGCCATGTAAATCACGAGTAAAGCCGCCAGCTGCTTGGAAGAAAGCCCCAATTATAAACGCTGGGTGTCTGCAAGCTCCCTGCAACTTATTGAAACCCGTTGGATGAGTCCGGCAGATAGCGAGTACAGTAGTTTGCCTAAGTATCTTACTCGAAAGATTACACAACGCTTACACAAGAACCGTGAGGCCTGTTGGCCGGAAAGCGTCAGTGTGATACAAGTAGCAGCTGCATCTGGCAATAGTTGGAAGCTGTTTCAGCTCATCCGAGTCACTGGCATCAAGAAGCCTGGTATCAGTGAGACGGTCTGTAAGGTAAAATATACGCCGATAAACAATCTCCAAAGACTCCTGACGCGAAGGAATTTGTAAAGCAGTTAAGCTGGTCCATGGCTCCAGCAATGTCAGTCTCAGTTTATCGACTCTATGGTCAGTTAACATGCTACGCATCATCATAGAGCAGAGCATAGAATGATAGTCAACCCTTCACCTTAACCTCACTGATTTTGAAAAAGCCTTCGACAGCGTCGGCCGAGAAGCAATTTGGAAAATACTTCAATACTACAGAGTACCACAAACCCCTATGAATCTCATTCAACAACTATATGACGACGCCATATGCCAAATGATTCACAATGGAAAGCTCAGTGATGCCTCTGAAATGATGACAGGTTGACTGGTAAGACAAGATTGCCTCCTGCTACCACCAATGATCTTTCTGATTGAGGTGGACTGGATTATGCAACAAACTGTGAGGAACGAGAAGAGGGGCATAGGCTGGATGGACCGATGAGAAGACCCCAGAAGGAGATTTGGATTTTGCCGACGATGACTTATGTCTGACATCGCACAAACTGAAAGATCTACAGGTGAAAACTAACAAGTTGGCCGAAGAGGCAAGGCAGCGAAGACGGGATCTCCTTCAGGCGAACGTAGAGAAGACAGAGGTGATGAGGATACCCAACCAACAACAAGCACCAATCACCATCAATGTGAGAAACCTGAAGGAGGTGGTAGTTTTCACCTACCTAGGCGAGGCAGCATCGTTTTAACTACAGTTGGCGGCGGCACAGATGAGGATGTCAGAGCCAGCCAGGATCGGAAAGACAGAAAGACAGGCCTTCATTAACCTGAAATCACTGTGGAGATCTACTGCACTCCACTCAACATAAAGAACAAGGTCTGGCCAGAAAGAATAAGCAACAAGGAACTCTGGCCGGGTAACAAACCAGCCAAGAACCTATTGTCCAACAAGTATGCAGAAGAAAGTGGAGATGGATTGGATTGGGGATACACTGGGAAGACCAGTTGTGGACACTACACGTAAGGCCAGGCTCTCGAAAGGAACCCAAATGGGAAACGACGAATTGGGCGTCCGAGGGTCATATGGAGGACATCGTGGGAGGAAGAAATGGAAGCTTCTGAATAGACGTGGAGCCAGATTAAAAAGACTGAAGAGAACAGAGTGCAGTGGAGGCGTGTTACTGAGGCCCTATGTTCCACTACGAATCCAAGGGACAAATAAGTAATTATAATAAAGGTTGATTAACACTAACCCATCTAACGAAGCGGAGGTCCATAAGGGACTCCAAGTTGTGAAACGGCACAAGGCACCCGGCCCAGAAAACTTACCCCCGACTCTTTTTAAGGATGGAGAAGTGACTCTAGTCGGGGGATTGGCTAGATCTTTTACGAAGGTATGACAGGCTGAAAGTGTTCCATCACTCTGGAATGAAGCCGTCGTTTTATATATCTTTAAAAAGGATCAACGTAATGTGTATGACAGTCATCGTTGTATTAGCCTTCCACCAGTCGCATCGAAAGTATTGGCTGCAATCATACTTTGCAGACTTTGCAAAACGCGTGAAAAGATGATTTACGAGGAGCAGGCGGAGTTCGTTCAGATTGTGGATGCACTGAATATGCCTTTACCCTCCACCAGATGCTTGAAAATCGGCATCCGTATTGCATGTCGACAATCGTTGTGTTTCTCGATATTGTGGCTACCTTCTATTCGTTGAACGGTGCTGTACTCTGGAATTGTCTGTTAGAGAAGGGCGTGCCTGAGAAATTTACTAACTTCTTGAAATCCCTATATAATAACATCTCAGGTGGAGTGACCGAACATAACTACCTGTCTCCAATGTTTCAAACCAGCAGTGAGGTTAGCCAGGGTTGCCCGATTTCTTCATTTCTCTTCAACTTTGTCATCAATAACATACTTAAAACAGCTCTGAAGGAGGTGCGTGGTGGTAGTGTAGATCTACTGCCTGCAGGATGGCTATTGGACCTCCGATAACCAGATGATATCGTCTTACTGTGCGATAACACACGCTACTCAAATTGCACTTCATCAGTTGGCGATTAGTGCTTATAGGTATGGTATGTGCTTTGCACCATTGAGGCGCAAAGCACTTTTGCAAGATTGACAGGAGCCTGTACCTGCGCTCACCTTTGATGATGAGCCGTTAGATGTAGTCGAAAAGTTCGTGTACCTGGGTGGTTGTATTAGCACTGGTGGGGGTTTATGATGAGAACTCTAACGGCATATCGAAAGCCAGAGTAGCATAAGCCAAACTCGGCCACCTTTGTCACCGTCACTACTTTAGCCTGACCATAAAAGGTTGGATTTAAAACGCTTTGATGCGAGCAGTTCTGCTATACGCTTGTAAAACCTGACCTCTTCAAGCCAAGGATGTGCGACAGCTGTGTGGGTCCAATCATCGTTGTTTCCGTAGGATTACTGGTATTCGGTGGCAACACCATGTTAGTAATTCTAAGGTACAACAGCGTGTGTTTGGGCTTGATTGAGATCGTCATTCAATAAGTGAAGTCATCTTAAAACACTGACATTGGTAGTTTGGACATGTGTTATGCATGTCATCTCAACGGCTTCCACACCGTTCATTATTTGCTAGTCCTAGGACTGGATGGAAGAAACGGAGAGGTGGTCAATGTATGACTTGGCGCCGTGAGATAGAGGATAGTCGTATCGGATTAGCCTCTACTGGAGCATCACGACTCCCTAAATGGGGTTCGAGAGATCACGCAACCCAGTGGCTTGAGACGTTATCAGATATGACTCAGACTCAAAACCAGTGGTAGTCACGCTATAGCTTCCTCTTACCTTCTGCTTCTGGAAAGTAATGAACGTTTTGTTTTAGATGGATCTTACTGGACTGCCTTTCTAATAGTATTTCTTATTGTTTTTCTCTTTACCCACTTCCCTTCGGTGTATGTATTCAAAATAGTGTTATATTATTTTATGTGGCACACACCACTAAGTATATCAAAGTGATATGAATATGAGCAACAAATCTTACTGGAAACGTTGTCCAGTAAAGTATTCTGCATCAATGCGTCCCATATCAAATAGTCAGTCTACTATAGAATTATACTCTACCACAGTACCCAAAGTTTGCTCTTACTTTAATAGTGTTTCGCTTAGTCATAGAATACCTCGTTTAGGTACACCACCAAACACTTCATATCCTATTACTATTCAGCTTCCAAAACACTGACAAAATAAAAGTTTTTATGCCACACAAAAGATGTAATCCAGTAATACTAAATACCTTGCGATCAATACCATGAGGAGATCTCCAGAGTACTTTCATTACTTGATCTTCAAATGATGCATTACTGTAGGTGATCTTTTGAAGTAACCGTTTTGTCAATGTCTGTAAATTGCCTTGAAGAAGATGATTTATGGACGATTGGTGCTTCAACACATTCGAAGGGAGAAAATTAACCATTGTTATATTTGGATCAGATGTTAGTTGAGGCATAATATCAATAAACTTTCTTATACTTTGTTCCTCCTTTATGTAGTGCTGAATATCAATAATTTCTCTGTGCAACACAGCTGGGTCTGAAAATATCCAATCAGTGTTCACCGGAATCAGTTCAGAATGTGTTTGTGTCTGGTAATCCATAAAATTATCATAATTAACCTCAGTTGATTTAATCAACGAAGACAGTGTAGAAGGAAATTCTGAAAGGAACACAGGAAAAAGTTGTTTGATGAAGTATTTCATATGTAAATCCTGATAATTCCATATCTTATACAATCAGTGAGTTATAAATCGATTTGGAAAATCCTTTCTCCACTAACATTTTCTAGGTAAACCAAATATAATATTCTTTTTAAGGTCTACAACACCAAATATCTTGAGTGTTAGTTGAATTAATAATAAGAAAACTGTAAACATCAGTGCTAGGAATAAACGGCGAAAAGCTAATGAACCAAGAAGTTATTCGTCAGCAGGTCACAGGATAACAGCGTTGAATGACAGACTGTGATACTTGTAAGAAGATAATAGTCACAGTTTGTTAGAAAACAACGGTCACAGGAAGATATCAGGCAACACCCGCCAGACTGCTGCTGTTATGCATCAATGAAGAAACCGAGAAATCTAACATCTAGCTACGTCTAAATTATCAATCATTTTCAAAATCAGACATGTCAGGTCCACTCAGCCAACAAGTTCTTATTCTTAATTTCAACAACCATTCTCTAGCAATGAAAAGAAAAGAAAGAGGTGTTTATAAAATCATTATTAGGCATTACTGTTTCAACAGCAATCGCTCAAACAAACTGCTTCCCTTTCGCATATGAAGGTTCTTCGGTGTATTAGGAATTAACAAAGAACTGCGATAGTCCAGTCATAATCTAATCCAATCATAGAATTTGGAAATGAGTCACAATATTCACATTTGGGAGGCGAAAACTAGTTGAAGCACTCATCTACCTTATCATTAGATTGATAACCGTTACTAGATGGCGGTTCATTGATTTGAAATAATCCACAGTAGTTATGACAATGCTGGACTGTTGACTGACGATGCAGATCTTATATTCCAGCTACATGCAATAAAATCAGCTACTAAGAGGGCACATTGAACTAATATGATTCAATGGAAGGTCAAGAAGAGATTCTAGACAAAGCAGAGATTTATCTGATCACTAAACGGTGAGAGTGTGAGAAAACCAGGCTGTTTTGTATAGATTTTATTCAGATAGATGAGTTTTCACATTTCGGATAATTTCATTTCTCTTTATGAATGACAAATGTAAACTGTATAACGAAATTAGTTAAATAATAGCTACGAAGCTAGAAATAACACACTTAAACACTATTGGAAATGAAAAGAAAAGTACACATAATGCTTGGTTTCCATCGTAGCAGCAATGTAAAGCTCAAACTGCGTATTCAGTCTGTGTGAAGAAAATACCAACTATTGACTAGCCCGTATCGTCAAACTAGTCACCGGGTTGTAGCGTCACACACTTCCCCAAAATCAATAGCCTAGGGTTTGACGACTTTCGACATTGATGCTGACCTTGATAGTTTAACTGGACTCGCTAAGCTGAAAGCACCCGGTCAAGCATCCTCGCCATTTGGCACGCTGTCGTGTTACGTTGCACTGCTCGTATTCGACTCTCTAGCCAGTTAGTTGGAACGCATCGGTATTTTGGCACAACTATCCAAATATACTATTCCATCCGACTACGCTATTGTGTTTTTCCTTGGTCTCGTATTCGTGGGTATATAACAAGTCCGAAAAATTAGTGATTGGTCTTTGCGTCTGGAAAGAACAATTTTTTTGTTCGTTTTCGAGATTGACTTCTCGGTTAACGACGAATTATGTAAACACCTTTTGACAAAGTTACATGAATAGCCGTTCTTCAAGAAAATTGTCATCAAATAGTTTTATTCTTTTCTCCACAGAGTTGATGTACTACAGTGTGTTTTCGCTTTTTCAAGCAGTGTTTTTATACAACGGATTTTGTGTGGGTAATTCCCTCTGAACATTATGTCGTACGCCACAGTTTGAATGTTGTTTTTTCAATAATTAATATTACAAGTTCAGCTAATTCTTTAACTGGGATCACAGTAAACTCACTAAAAATGATTCATCTCTTCCATTAAAAGTTGAGAGTCCCTTTGTAATGAATGATTCTAAAGAAAAACCTAAGATATAAAAACTGGTGGAATTTACGCATGTCAAAATTGTTTGGAATCTTAAGACACTCACATGGAAGTTATACAGTAGGCAATAAAGTACCTTTAAACTTTTAAATAAACTTAAGTTGATGTTAGTCACTAAGTGTTGATCAAGTGGCTATACACCTAGTGTAACGCATTTTAGACAGAGGTCAGATGTGCATTCAATCGGACACAGCTTGAAAATGGGGCGAAATTTGCTGAGTAATCTTTGATACTGTCTATTTCCAACCAATATTGATGTGTTATGAAATCCTCGTTTAAAATATCTAAACCCTAAACTTAAAAAATTACTCTGTTGCTCAGACTCAACAAATCTTTACAGATATCTAGCCCTAAGAACTATTCTATATCGTAAGTATAACATTTTTTTTCGACAACTAGGCCATCTCATAGTTGTGCACAAAGTGCTATCAGATAACCAGCACGCGAGACTGATGACGAACTGCAGATTCCCTCGTTTCTTCAGTAGACCTTATGTTTACGATATCATCCTGATATTAGATGGTTGGAGGCAATCGACAGGAAGCCCTAAACCTGCTTTTTGGCACTCATCAGCAAGGCGTATCTGCAACCTCGACGGAACTGATGTCCCACCTGAGATTCAAACCCGCGTCACCCGGTGTTGTAGTCAGCGACCTTAACACTGAGCTTTTCGGGCCGCGACTGACATCCTGTAGGACTGGCTTACATGTATTGATTGGTCACGGGAGTGCAACCAATTTCATGTTGTCTAGTCCTGAGTGCAGATCGAATTCTATCGATCGACGAGTGCCAAAAAGCAGGTCCAGGGCTTCCTGTCGATTGCCTCCAACCAACTAACATCTACTAATGTGCACCGCGATGTTGAGCTTCCTAGCTTGGTTGCCACATTGCAAATATGATCGATAGGATTCGGTCTGCACTCAGGACTAGACAACATGAAATTGGTTTCACTCCCGTGACCAATCAATACAATCTTCTGATATGCTAACAGTAACAACGACCAGTGATGAAAAGCTATTCTACTCCATACTTCTGAAGTTCAAAAGGAAATAAATGAAATATTCATCTAGGTGTCTCGCAATGGAATTCGGGACTCAGGTTTTGTCCTCTTTAGGACTCATTAGCTGGGTGTACCTGCACCCCAGTGAGTGATGTTGTTCCCATTCACTTGAACTGATACATAAAAACCGCAGCTTTTACTGACAGAATTAAAGTTCTGATTTTATGTATATGTTTAGTTTAATTCAATGCATTTTCGTATCATCTAATATATTACTAGATATTTTTTGGTATAGAATCTTTAATTGAACAAGGTGGAATGTATACACCACTTTTATTGGAGAAAGCCTATCGAAGCATTTTAACTTAGAAGACATCAACATAATGAGAATAAAAGTACACAGCGTTTGGAAATGTCAGCCAAAGTATTTTACATCAGAACTACTCTTAACCGATGCATCCTATTCACAATTCCACAGTTCACTGTGAAGACAAATACACTATGAAACTTGCCTGTTAAAAACAACATGTTGAAATCTTGTTCTGTTATCAGGTTTTCACGTAAACACAGATTTCCAATGTGATAAAAGATCCAAGCTATAGTATCCCTGGCTTGATTCCACTCTTCAATTATTTTCTTACGATTTTCAACGGGCTATTTTAATATGAAGTAAAACAACAGTATTATTTCAATATCGCATTAACGGTACAAGAAATTACACGATATAAGCTAGAAACATGTGTCCACCATTTCTTAAAACAATGAAGAATTGGTGTACATTTAAATTTCTCATGCAAGTAAAGTCTAGTAATAAGTAGCGTAAATATGTGAAACTTATTCGAATGATATAAAACAAAATGCCAAGTCATTTCAACCACTTAAATTCTTTATTAAGTGGAGTATTTACTTACGAACAAGAGCTTATCATTTGAGATGAAATATCAACCCCGGGAAGAAAGCATGAAATCTGAATTGAAGTTTATCGTAGGCTTTTGCAAAAGACTTTGGATAAAAATCTGTCGGTTGTCAATAAAATAGTATGTGAACAGTAGAAAACCAAGAATTATGGGTAACTTAAATGCGGAGATATTCGAGACCAGATTGCAGAATTCATGACGCTACAACTTGTTCGACTAACTCATGTTTAATATAAATGTAAAATTCGGGCACTAGTTATTTGAAATAGCCCACTCATACAGAATTAAGTAAATAATACTGAATCACTGTGTCTTAATATGCCGTTCATGCAATTTTTCACTAATTCAGTAACAGAACGGTATTAGTCTTTGTTGTTATGATACTTGTGATTTCCCTTTGCTATACAGGGCCAAATCACTAGATCTCTGTTGATAGATCGTCTCCTATGCGGATGCCTCGATACTGCCGACTATTCATGATGTTATACTGATCATGGGGACTAGAAGAGAAATCCAGGACTTGCGTCTCGTTTCATTTCGTTTTGACTCAGTGGGAACAACATCACTCACTGGGGTGCAGGTTCATCCAGCTGATGAGTCCCAAGTAGGACGAAGCGTGAGTCCTGGATTCCTCTGCCAGTAACTGAGATCAGTACTACGGTACTAATCTTTATTTGATTGAAACTGTCTCTTAGATATAATAGGAATGCATCGCAATGGGTTCACTTCTAGTAGACATACCATACAATGGAAGGTGAATCAATTCATCTGAAATATGGATTATGAGGAAATGTCAAGATATCTCGATTCCCTGTATAGTAATTTCATGGATTTCCACTGCTATAGTGAATTATCAAGGTCGGAGACCCATTTCATGGAAAACGTTTGGTTTTTAGTACACTGAATCAGATGTAAACAGGGAGTGCAAATTGAGAAAATAAATAATTTACACATAAACTTGTACAGATTACAATTGTTCTTGCATAGCCAGACTTGTTGACTACTTAGTGTTCCTAACCCCTGGATCTGTTAAGTAACTCACCGACCGCGCTCAGATGAGCACTACAGTTGTAGAGCTCTATGCGTGGAAAGCTGGTACAGGCTGGTTGTCACATTCAAAAGTGAAGTTTGTTTGAGTGCATGAGCTCTCTGATGGGCCTAAAGGGCCCATGAGAGGTAGTCTATGTCTTCTATATAACGGACAGCGTAGGACAGTATATTTCCGATGTTTCAGTATTCTGTCGGTTAGTGAAAAACAGATCTAATTTCAGTGGCAAAATGAATTTCTCGAATGGAAGAACACTATTTGTCTTTCTCTCTCTAGGGAGTGCATTTCACTTTCAGGTTGTCTTTAAACAAAGCATTTAGGCCTTACCTGATTTTCTAATTTATTTCCAAGATAGTCCATCGAATTTAAACACCACTGAGGTTCACCGACTACACTGGAATCTAGATGATACCACCTCGTCAAGTCGATTTCTTGAAGGATTGTGTAGCAGAGATTTGAGGCCTTCTGTTTCATCCGATGTGTCAAACAGTCAAATATACTGGCAGGTATCCGCTTTGGCAATAGTGGTAGACCATGCCTTTGTCCCAGTAGTATCTGTAAAAGATGATTGGAGCAGAAAAAGTAGTCGAAGACCTGAAAGTCATTGATGCACTCTTGCTTCCGCTTTTAGAAATCATTCTTAAATTACGAAATACTGAACGATAGTGAAACGAAAACTGCCTGCAGATTGTTTTTGTATCGATACGAAAAATAAAGTTAAATTTCATTCTGGACTAAACCAATTGCATTTATTTGTTATTCTTAAAGTTGGCGGTTGTTATTTACTGGGATATAACACGATAATATATATTTTATACTTCGGCTGAGTTATTCTCCGAAATTCATTCTTGTATACTGAATTCTACACTATCTAATTGGAAACGAGATTAATTGCAACCATACCGAGAAGAAAGCCATCCATCAGCTATTATTCATAGACAACACCAAAGAAAACTCCTCCTAAACTCTTGCATCTTGAGTCGTGGGTACATAATTGCTATATCATGTAGCTTATGTTTACTCAACGACCTAGCAAGTGTCTCTAACAGCTTTAAGTAAATAAAGTTGAACAGCTTAAAGATTATTAAAAATCTGCTATGCAGCCTGTGCTTACATTTTCAACGGCTGATGGATTTTTTTATCAGAAGCTAAGCAGTACACACATTATCTCCATTATACAGAAGTTCAGAGTGAACTAATGAAATAAACACTTTGAAATTATGCCTTCGAATCACTTCTTGGTTCAATTATGCTAACAAAATAGTCATTTATTTACCAGATGATGGTTTCTTTTGGTTGCGAGTACAGTTCATCTGAGTCTGAGGGCCAAACACTTGGAAACAGGTTCAAATAACTCCAATGTTTGTCTGGTGTGTAAACATATTACTAAATAGTGTAGATGTTTTCAAACAAGTATTATTGGTCAGTTCAATATTTCCTACCAGTGCACAACTTAAAACAACATCTATCAGTCTTCTTCAGTTTCGTCACTCAAACAGCATTTAAATAAAGAATCAAGGTAGAAATAACTTGTGAAGTAAGAAACAGAAAATGTGAATTTATCCTGCTCACTTTCTTCAACTTTTGAGATGTTTGGCTAAAAGACTAGATTTAACCTTGAGCAAACAGATGATAAAAGTAAAAATAATGAATACTTTTGATGAGATCAGTTCATTTTTGTGTGGGAAAATTAAGGCAATGACTACCAATAAGATTATTTCACCGGTAAACGAAAGGCAAAGGGACAAAATCCAAGTAGAACCGTGAACAGAAGTACATCCGTTCAGGGTGTCACACTTCACAACAGCATGCAAAGAAGTGGGTGGAAAAAACTGACATCAAAGTAGACGAAGGTGTTTATGTGGAGAAACAAGAAAATATTCAAGCTATCGAAGACGTCAAAGAGGGAGTACATCTGCGTCTTCGTGACAAATTTTCAGTCATGTCACCAAGAGTCCTCAACCACTGATTCATATCATCTCATGGCCCACAGCTACCTAGTCTGCATGACTCAGACCAGCAGAAACAGACTTCATGCACTGGTGTTACGTCTTGGTCTGGTCACTATGAGGCTTCTTTCAGCCTAATCCAACTTATGCTAACATTACACGTGACTCGACATGCGCAACGTATATCCCAACCCCCTAAGTCGATGAGGCTTCACAACCTCTTCGACTGACTTACCTGACTTACCCTTAGCTTGACCTCGACATTACTCACACGGTGATTCCACCATACACCAGTAATGCTGCTGAGACATCTTTGGTCAAAAACTCGTAATATCTTCCACTTTTAACCGCTATCTCTCGCAGCCATTTAACATGACAGAACGAACTGTAGCGCAGTATACAAGTTCTTTAATAGATAGTCGGATATCTCAACAGTCTGTGCCAGAGATGATGCGAGTTGGAAGATGTCGAACAGGCCCTCTGTATTCCAGCTGAGATTCCATCAGCAACCAGAGCGTTCGGGTTAATGCAACTTTCCAAGTAAGTGAAGCGGCCGATGCATCCAAACACTCCATTCCCTATCATTAAACTGGAAATAGCTGCAAACCGGTCCTGAAGCATCCATCACCTTACCTTCGACAGGTACAAAAAGCATGCCAAATATACTCAAATTTCTGTTTAAGACATTCGGAGGACCGTGTTTTGTCAGCTTTTCCACCTGGCAAGATTAAATAATTTTCATACAAGTCAAACACTCCCCCTCCTAGAGATACGGAAAGCTGAACAGGAACGGCAACAGTGGACGGACACCACTGGTTGTAGTTAATTAAGATGACAACTCTCCATAGGCCTTTACGCGGCTGTGTGAGTTTGACTAGAGGGCTTTGATTAACGTTACATACCTACTCGGTACTCTCTACAGAGTCATATATCGTTGCAAAACCCCGCAGTCGACAGAGTCAAATACAGTCTTCAGGTCAAGAAATATCACTTGTCGGTTACCGGTAAGTATACCTTTGTTACAGAACCTGTCGAAGGGTAGAAATGTGACTGACGCACCCTCGTCCAGGTCTGAAACCTATATGGTTTTCTCGAGTTTCGCGTTACAAGTTCCAGTTAGAAGTCGGGTAACTATGGATCCTAGGATCTTAAATACAATCTTAGTCACAAGTAAACCTATCCCCCTTCTTATAGACTGGAATGATCAGTGGAGTAGACCAGTCTGATGGGATTGCCTCTGACTTGTATCTTCATCATTCTACTCAGTAATTTACTGCTTCCATCCTTAAAATTTTCTTCTGGTAAACCATCAAGGCCTGCTGTTTTGCATTGTTTCCGTTTCAAAACAGCCTTTACAGCTTCTGGGTCATTTGGAAAACGGACGCCTGTGTTCCATTTAGGTTCGGTCAGCGTGTTCGGTAACTGAGCTCTGGTGGGGTCCAGCTGAACTCTTCTCCAAGGTGTTCCACCCAATATTATAGCCGTCTGTCCCGAAAGGTTACCAGTGACCCATCCTTTTCGGTGACGGTTCCACTAACCATTGTTTTCTTCTTGCCGGTATCCCTGCTAAGCCTAAATAGTTGGCTGGTATTTCTCAACACCGATGCCTTCTCAACCTCTTTTACTTTCACCAACCATCAATGCTCTCCATCATCGCGAAGACTCTTGTTCATTTTAAGTTTTAGTTACTTTTACTCTTCGTTTTAGTCAGAGTCAGTTTTGATAAGTCTTCGCATATCAAGCAGTTCGGATGACGTTGCGGAAATCGATAGACTTTTGCTAGCTTTTGGATAGATGTTATCAACTGTCTTTACCACTGTTTCTATAGCAGGGTGAATATCACTCCTGGTTTTATCAAGATGGGGATTGCTATCACGTTCTGATAAATTCTTTGCCATCTACTCCCCAAATATGCTCTCGATGTTCTCACCTTCCAAATGAGTGCACAAAGGCTTCCCTGCCGCCTGTTTGCTGCAACCAATAAGATACAAACATACAAGTGGCAGAACTAACGCTTAGTCAGAGTGCAAACACGTATTTCAGAAGGATCAGTAATCCTCTTCTGATGAATTTCAGAGATGGCTAATAGCAATATGATCTATCTGTATCCATCGTTGGTTTGAAGTTAACGGTCGCCACGTGAGACAGTCTCCCCTTATGTTTAGAGTTGGTGCTAATCGGAAAAAGTGAATATCAGAACAAAATGCCAACAGACAATCACTGTTGTCGGTTCGCTGACATGGGATTTTGTAGATACCTCCGAGACGCTTTTACGACTGGCTCAACCTGCCTAATTAAGAATTGAATTCGCCTGTTATTATGTCTATTTATGAGTGTTTGCTTTATGTAATAAAAGAAACAGCTGTCGGTAGAATTTACGCTTTGTATCATCTATTCAGTCAAACAGCATGCTATGATGACTAACTACTGGTATTCAGTCGAAAACTCCGTTTTATGCTGGAAAACATAATGCTATGTCTACATCAGCGAGTCCATGACAGCTAGCCAGTGAACCTCATGACACTTGTAAGGTGGATTTTGAAGATTAACTATATTGGTCAAGTGAGGTCAAGTCAATAACCACACTCATATCGTGTATATGTGTCTCAGAAACACAGTATACCTCCATTGCTCCAGATTCTAGAGTTCTGGCTAGCAATGCTTGCTGTCCGATTTAGTAAAGAGTTCAAACATAAAAAGCTCTGATATGAAATTGATAGTGGGGTCTTTGGGGATTAGAAACTCGGGAACATGTTCAATGACGGATTTCCTTATTATATTTCCACTAAGATATCAATATTATCGTTGAAATCTTTTCTTAATGTGTCCTCAAGATGGTGAGATAAGCCCACATCTGTTTTACATCTTTCCCCAAGTAATGAGGTAACGCATGCATCTGACAGATGCAAATGAATTTGAGTGACTTTTGAGATGCAACTGGATCGTCATACTGCTAAAATAATGGCAAAGGTAGCTGAAGCATATTAAACATAAAAGGTTTTCACACTCAGTTATCACTATTTTATATAGGATCAGATACTCTTTCACTGCATACTTCCTTTGCACAAGAAAGATTGCGTAGAAATCTGGTTGAATGAATACTGAAATGGAGTGCTCATATAGACACTAGTTCATCACTGTGAAAATTATTGACTCACTAAGTTCGAAGTATGACCAACCACAAATGCCAGCTAAATGGAAGTTAGATGATCGAACTACTGATGAACTAATTGAGTAGTATGTGAATGAAATCAACTGTTTCGATGCAGGAAAAAGTGTCTGTGAGGTAGCATGACTGGAACGTTAATGACAAGATGAAGGTAATAAGGTTCCCAATATATCCTCACCAATGAGAACAAGGTTACAGCTCAGTCCTCTGTAACGTTTCCCTGTGAAGATCATACTCTCTTCTGAGTTCACAGAGACTTAACTTATTGCAAGATACCTGTCATTCAACTTAAGTGGACAAATGATATAATTCTGTTTAGTAAATATCCTGAAAAGAAACAGCCTCTTAGACAATCTGGGTGACAGTTTGAGATGATTTATTTATCACCCAGTATCCCTTAAAAGACTTCGTCCAGACAGATAATTAGAGGATGCAGAGTCTTCCAAACACTCAGTGACAATTTTTAAAAACGTCTACCAGTGGACCCATGTGAGATAGCCATAATCTCATATTCGATCAGAACACAAAGATCTGACTGAACACCGTGTGGTGAGACTGGACGAACAGCTACTTATCACGCACTCAAATGACTATCGAACAAATATAGGGCAACTGAAGTGAAGTAAATTTAACACCTGACCGACAGCTCACTCTCATAACTCAGTTAGTAAGGCATCAGGCTCGTGTTCTTATGCCATTATTCCCAATTCTACGTCAGCAGCGGTTTGCATGTTACCTTCAATCACCACCTCGTATCAATTTGAGAAATTCTGACAACAGCAAATTGTTGTTCCAGAACTGGTCTCCATCAATGCATCGTCTAACAAGCGGGAGCGAAGTGGTTGTGTGCACTGATCACTCCACTGCCTTGGGAAGTTGGATCAGTATTGATGAATTGGTGGTTGTTGAAATGGTGAGGTGAGGATGTGAAACATCCGTTTGGCTTTTTTCAATTTACACCAACCATGGTGTTGATGAGATGTACGATAACCTGGAGACATTCAGTTGTGGATCACAGTAGTTCGTTCTGTCCTACTCAATGACGGTAGAAATGACCATTCAAGTAGAAAGCCATGAGAATGCCCTAGGTGTTTGACTACTATTACTTTCGTACCATGGTCTGTGTGTTGTTGTAGCACGGTGTAGAGTCAAGCACAGTGAAGGTGAGTCAGTCAATGTGTTTGTGAACCATGATGAACTGAAGTGACTGGGATATCTGTTGTGTTAGATTGTGTGAGTTTTGATCAGGAGAACATTGGGGATGGTGAGACTCGAAATTGATATCGCTTCATGAAGTCCCTGATTGTCTGTCTGAAGTGTGTAGAGAAATGTAAACTTTCTTGTTGATGTTCATATGGCAAGTGACATTTCGGTTGTAGACTCTACCTTGATGATGTGGCTTAAAATCGATCAAAGCGGGGAGATGCAACCAAACTCTCTCTTTAATACTTCCATTATATGATACTTCGTTACTTAATTTGCCTCATCTTCTCTTCTTATTGCTTGCTACAGCTTTTGAAAACTCCCTCCACATTCCTCTGTTTTTCGTCTTGTTTCTGTGTGTCTTGATGTGCTAATGTGAAGTGTGGTGGTTTGCATGGTTGCGAAGCAATTGTGATTCTTAATTAGATGTCTATGACTGGGTCCCTTGGCAACCAAGTTATTGTTCACTAAAATTTTTTCAACTGTGAATATAGTTCAGTAATTAATATCTGTCAAATTGTTCTCTCTTCGGAAAAATTAATTTGTACGCTTTTATGAGTCGTTCCTTCTAAATACTAGGCATCTGTTTGTTCACAAACAAAGGCGCATAAAATACAGTTACATCAGTTTGAGACTGTGCTTAAATACAGAAAGGAGGGAGTGTACTTTTTTCACCACTCTATTCACTCTCTTTTATATCTGTCAAAAGTAATCTTTTGATCAGCTTTTTGAAACTAAAAAGCTAAACCTTTTTCGAAACTTTGTTGCTTGGTTAATACACTGTATGTGTAGAAATTTACAAGACGCATTCGCAGACTTCCATGAAGACAAGAAGGATCAAGTGGTGATTGTCACTTACAGAAATGAATCATCATGTAAATACTTTCATCAGTTTTCATTGGAGTACATTATTCGGTGTTTTCGTTTTAAGAACTTGTGTTTATTTTGATAAAGGACTGGTCATCAGTGTATGCCTTACACAACCACACCTCCGGATCATAAAAATATCGCATGGTGATAACTGTTAACTAGTTGCTGTTCCTGTTTTAATGTATGCACTCAGAGTGATGAGAGGTGGAAGGCTTTAGAAAATGTGTGTAGTCAATACTTTCAATCATTTTAGTTCACAACAATTAAAATTATTGAGCTCATTCTTATCAGCTTCGTTACTGAAAGAAAATGTCACTCGTCTTTTTCTTCACTTCGCAGATGTATAGATAGGACATGTATGCTGACTGATAACCAGCCATAGGAATCAAATATTAATATCAAATATGATTATTTTGTTAATATTTTATACTACTCAGTAGTAGCATAAATTTTAAAGACAAAACCTTAGGCGTGTATGCATACAAATAACAATCAAACAATGCACTTACTATTGGACAGCAGTTCAGGTCGTTACGACAGTATTGTAGGCTGAGATTTCGAAATAATTCAACATATCCAAGTGGCTCCAATGGTAGTGTATCTTCCAGCGGTCTTGGATCGATGAACTGTCAAGATAAACTAATGATTAGACACTTATAAATCGAATATATTTTGGCAATTAGGTTCATTGTCATGAAATTAATTAATGTGCTTATCCAAGTGGTAGTAATTCATATCAGCCAGTAGATTAATCAGATGGACCTTAGCAGATTTATACCAATCAACTGTCAGTATAGGTTCTTTCTTATGAATAAAGTTCAGGAAAATGTTCAAAACAGCTAAGATCATGTAGTGTTTTACGTCTTAGGTTTAGTATTAGCTATCTGAAGCCTGGAATAGAAATTTTTAGTTGCCCAGCAAAATCCATTCAGTTTCATGACTCTTTGACATCTTGGATACAACTCATAACAATACATTCCCTTCTGTTGCGGCTATAGACTAGGTGGTGAAGATGAACAATACAAAAGAGTAATATTGGTAACGGATTGCTGAAGTGAAGAAATTTTGTCCAATAGAGGGAATGAGAAAACCGAATACAGTTGAAAATTAAGTTTAATAGCAATGAAGCCCACGGAACTGCCTCCAATATTTGAACAATAAGGAGTCAAACTCACCTAAATACAAATACAACTTTAAAACCAAGGGTAACAGCTGAACTGCCTAAGCTGAAACGTGTTCGGGAACCAATTAGTCAGAGTTAAATCATAAAACTAATGAAAGCTGAAGTGGATCAGTTACCTTCACATTTCTTTAATTCAACAGAATTCGCCCTCATAAATACTTATAAAAGACACACTAGGTTTATTAATGTAGGTGTAAAACTTGGGCACTGTGGTAGAATTAAATTCCAGATTAGATCTATTTATTTGATTTATAACACACAGAGATATATTATTATTTACTTGATGACGTTTCGAGCATAAAGGATTCGACAGATCCAATTAAGCAAAATAATATAATCTTTCAAATTCCATGTAACGACTGTGAGGTCAAGTACATAGGTCAGACTGGTGGGTTGGTGCCAGTTAGAATAGCTGAACATAGGAATGTAGCTAAATATGATGAACTGAAAAGTGTTTTGACAACTACATAACGACTGCCACTTTCTCAGAGCACTGGAAGAACAATTGTTTAAAGATGTGAATAGATTCTACTGAAAAGGCCAACTGATCTGACTTTTCGAAAGCTAGTAATATCTTATAAATGTACTTTTAATTTCCTCCTGACTGTTTCACAAATCATGTTTTGGAATACAGCATTGAACTACAGGACCGTTAACTAAAAAAAATACTTTCCCAGACTGAATAACCAACAAGTTCCCAGAAAAATAACTAAGTGCTGTTCAAACAGAAATGCTGACTTAATTGCTTACAAACTGTGAACTTCAGTCACTGAAATAAGTTATAACCAGAAGATTAAAAGGTATAACGGTGACGAAACACTGAGTCCCATTCGCATCGGTTCCTCCCGCTTCCTTAACTTCTCGTCTTCACTCCGTTATTTAAGTTAAAGCTAATTTATGATAAACCACGTTGTCGTTTCCATCTGCTTCATATTTATTAACTACTTTTCACTGAAGAATTGGACGGCCGTCACTTTAAGTTAGTATTCATCATGGATCGACATCAGTCGTAGGAACATTGGGAAATTAGGAACACTGGACGGGTGTTCCGTCCTAGAATAGGACTTCTCAGCAGCGAGCACCCATAACCGCGAAAGGGATTGGATCCTTCGTATTTCGTGGTCAGCACGTTACCACTGAGCCACTGGGTCATCCAATGCTATTATCACCATTTTGTCAAAAGGTTTCTTTTAGACTTGAATTAATTTGTATTTTGCACTGATTTTGTCTTCAGTTCTATGCTACTGATTACTATTAAGTAGGATTGTGTGAATGCTTAGCTTTATGCTGCATCATATCACCTTTGATTATAAAGTTCGTTACTGTGCATTTCAATTAGTATACTAATATTTCAGCTTATCAGCTCCTCTCATTGTTTCATCACTGTATTATACTCTCCCCAATTTGCTTCATCAATGTCACCTAGTTCCTTGGGACTTCATTTGGATTGCTGAAAGAAGTCTACGTTCTTATACAGAAATATTCTACATGCTGAAATTCTTGGGAGTTTCGAACCAGAATTTAGAAACTCTTTCTTTATGCAGAACCAATTTCGATGAGAATTAGCACGGAATGAAAATGCCATAAACAAAAAGATGGTGAATATAAAACATGCACACATCTTTTGAACTCATTGTATATACCACAGAAAGTATTCATGAAAATAAAACACTACAACTTACACAAACATCAAGTCCGTATTTTTCTTGTGAGTATTTACGTATATCATAATATACACTTTCTTGTAAAATACACCTTTCCACGGAGAAATCTATCCAAACAAAACAGTAATATAGGTGAAGTGAACACGTTATCACCTGAGAATATCAACATGCCAGAAGTTTCGAAATTTGTAGCTCTAAACTCCATGAATCAGAGGTTAAAACTGTATACAAATTCATGGATGTAAATATTAATAAATAATCATTTCAGACAGGTAGACAAAATCAACACAAGACCTAACAATTACTGCGTAACCGTCCAAGTTGCCACACTTCATATCACCACGTCAAGCCAGAACACCGTAACAAGAAAAGTGAAGTAATCTGGAAGAAAACAATAACAACTAATAAAAGGTCGTAAAAATAGGGCAAGGAAGAATGAAACAATACTAAAATTCAGTTTGACGATTAAGATGAGGATAAATTGTGGATACATCAGTGCCACCAAGATCGATTCTGAGACATATTACTTGCAGTTTCCAAGTAATAGCTTCAGTTGTCACACGTAAAACAACCGAGAAGTGTACATTTTCCTATATGGCTCAGACCAGCAGTCAAGGAATAAGTAGATTGATGCAATTTTTAATCTGGCAGCCTCTAACCTTTTCACAGACTGAAAGTATTTCAGATAAAAATATGCAACGAGGTAGACGGTGACTAGGCATGCGTAATGCATTTAAATGCCACCCAAGTCGCTAAAGGTTTACTAGCTCATTGGATGAATTACCTCTCCTCCCAAAAACACTCTACCTGACTTCTACGTTACTCAGTTAGTGACACACCTACACGCAGCCTATGCTACGAAGTCAACAATGGTCGAACACATGAATCCACAGCATATCCTCTATCTATCCTCTAACTGCAATGCAGTTCACTCTGCACTTAATAGATAATGGCATTTCGCATCTGTGGCCTAGATGGCATACGTAGGTGAAAGCCAACTGAATCTATTCTATCCATGCGAAGATTTCGTGGGTCACTCAGCCACCAGGTTGATTCCACATGTTACGTAGGCGAAGAGGTCAACGTGGTCATCCATTTCACTCCTTAATTTTAGACTAGCCCTAGAACAACAATTCACATATGGGTGGCAAGAAACACATACCAAACACTATCAAATTTGCCACTCACGGTGTCCAGATGATTTTGCATACTGTTGGTGTCTGCTCCGAATTGGACTATGTCATCTATATACTCAAAATCTACCAAAGATTCTCTGTGGTAAAATCAATCTATATGAAATAAGAAGATGAGAGACAGGATCGCATATTCACGTCAATAATAAGGTTGAATAATATTGGAGAGAATCAATAATTTTGACAGACAGCACTTGGCGTACACAACTCATCACGGATGTATGAGTATAGAACACTCAACAGAGTGATGTACACAACTGGCATCCGTTTTCAGAGACGACAATGCTATAAGAACTCTCAGTCGACTAAGTCAAGTGTCAACTTCAGGTGGAGATATACAGTTAGTGTCACTAAGTGTGCTTGTTTTTCGGAACCTGGCGTAGTATGAATAACTGGTCGATACACTCATGGCCAGGTCCGAAGCCTGCCTGATTTTCACGGGTTTGCTGTTCCAGAGCTCTACTCAGACGTTCCTTCCTTATGTGGTAACATGATGGAGGCTTTGAACTCCTTTCTATCCATGTTATCGTTATTATTCGTACCTTATTACTGTTATTATTTTGTTTCTTACGTTTTCCTACGAATTTCTTAATAAATTGTAGAGGATAATTATTAACGCTTCACAATGTGTTTCATTTCTTTGTGTAAGTCCTTACAATGACTAGTGGAGGAAGGAGCATCAGGAACTTTACGTAGGATTCTCAACAAAGCTGAAATTAAGGAGGCATTTCAGCCTGCAAATTCATTCGGAAATAAGCTTTATCGGCTTAAGAATCTGATAGAACCAATTAAGCAAAATAATCTAACCTAACAAATCCCATACAATGACTGTGAGATCAAGTACACACGTAAACTAGCCGGTCGGGGTCAGTTAGATTAGCGGTTCCAATAAGAGTGTCAAGTAATTTAAATCAACCATTTTGAACTTCTGCCTTCATTACATGAAACCAAAAGCAAATATTAGGAGAATATTGTCCAAAGAAAATAAAACCCAACTAAATGAACTTTTGAAAAACAAGGAACTGTTGTTGGTTGATCTGGACAAGGGTTTGGTCATAGTTCCCATGAATCCCAAAGACTATGTTGATAAATTGTCGTCTATATCAGCACATAAAAGCAAATTCTCGAAAGAAGAGTTTCAGAAAGACGCTAGGGAACGAGCAGAACAAAAAATGACAAATTTTTTTAAGATGAAAAACGAATCAATCATCAGTGAAGAGCCGTTTGAAAGATGAAAACCATCTGGTTCGGTAAATCCTTAACTCTTCTGTCTTCCCAGAGTTAATAAGAAAATGTTCCTCGTCTTCCAGTTGTTGACATGAACAATTCACCATATCATGGGATTGCTAAATGGTTAACCGAAATCCTTCAACCAGGGAAGAATCGGATCACTAATTACAGCATTCCTGAAACCTTCGACTTCGTTAACTGCATTAGAGATGCCAACTTGTGTGGTAAGTGTATGCTATCACTGAATGTCACATCCCTCTTCATAAATGTACCTTTGACGGAAACAATCTGCTTTCTCCATGTCATGATAGTGAGATCAACAAGCCTTAAATTGGTATTCCTAGACATTATATGAAGGAATAGCTCTTACGATGTACCTTTAATATACAATTTAGATTTAATAATAAACGTTATCGACAAACGGATGGGGTAGGAAAGGGTTCACTATTGGGTCATATAGCTGACTGCTTCATGATCAATCTGGAGAACAGTAAACTGCGTCCACTGATCGATCAGTTCCATTTATATAAGAGACACATGGATAACACTTTCATCACCTATGAGGAGGATAGTAACCTTGAAGAAATACTACGAAAGCTCAATGAATGACATAGGTCAAATAAATTTACCATGGAAACTGAAAACAACTCACAGTTCCAATTCCTGGGCGTTCTATTAAGAAGACACGAGCGTTCTCTAAGGAGATCGATTTGCAGAAAACAAACCTGGGATAGTCAGTATAATTATTTTCAAAGCTAGGTTCCACTAGACAGGAAAAGAAATCTAGTTCATCCACTATGCACACGAATTATAAGAATTTGTACGGGTGATGCAGTAAATGAGAGTATGGAAATACTTTGAAGAGTGTTAACCGAGAACGTTATCCTTCAGGATTCATTGAGAAGAACATGAAACCTAAGAGTTTCAACGAAGAAGCTCCTTTGGTTCCAAGAAAGACACTGTTTATGCATATTGGATTCAATAGAGATACATTGGTAGGGATACTGAAGAATCAACTATGCAACGCACTGAAGAAGACATTCCTTCCCGCTCAGCTTCGGATTGTTTTCTCCAGTCAACAACTGATTCGAGGGTGTGTAAATGATAAACTACTACTTTAGATCACCTCCACATGTGTTTACCAATTCACCTGCTCTTATGAAGCTGGTTACATAGGCCGCACAATGCATGTTCTATCCAAAAGCATCTTCGAACACTAATTTGCATGGTTGTTTAAAGGACAGTGTAAAGTCGTCGACAGATAGATTCTTGAACATTTGGCTACATCTGATCACTGTGCTCCACAAGGTTCTTCTTTCAGTCATTTGTAAGGTGAAGGAAAACATTTCGAAGTGAGTGCATATTCGCCACCCCAACACAGTAGAAGCTCTGGAAATCCAGCACTAAAAGACACATAAAATCGCTAGATTTGCCTTGGTCATAATCTTTTAAGATAGTTGATTCACTTCTTTTAAATTTTGAGGGGGTTGTGGAGATTTGGAAATATTTCAAGTTGTTATTCATCGAAGACTGACATCAGTTGGAGGAACAAAGGAAACCTGGGAGCACTGGACAGCTGTTTCGTCCTAGTATGGGACTCCTCAGCAGTGCGCACCCACGACCCCACCAGCAGGGATCGAACCCGCGACCTTCAGGTTCCGCGGCCAGCGCGTTACCATTGAGCCACTGGGTCAGAATCCAATGCTCCATATTTCCAACTTCTGTTAGCTCACGATATAGCGCAAACCGCCACCCAATGTCATCGTTGAGTATTTGTCCTCACGGCCATCAGGCTTTGACTCCACCGGTCACGACTTGTCATTGGAACTTCGGGAATACTTCTCGAAGCTAGTCACCAACGAGCACTAGTTCAATTAAATTTTGAGGGGTTGTGGAGATTTGTTCCTTTGTTCCTCCAACTGATGTCAGTCTTCGATGAATAACAACTTGAAATATTTCCAAATCTCCACAACCCCCTCAAAATTTAATTGAACTAGTGCTCGTTGGTGACTAGCTTCGAGAAGTATTCCCGAAGTTCCAATGACAAGTCGTGACCGGTGGAGTCAAAGCCTGATGGCCGTGAGGACAAATACTCAACGATGACATTGGGTGGCGGTTTGCGCTATATCGTGAGCTAACAGAAGTTGGAAATATGGAGCATTGGATTCTGACCCAGTGGCTCAATGGTAACGCGCTGGCCGCGGAACCTGAAGGTCGCGGGTTCGATCCCTGCTGGTGGGGTCGTGGGTGCGCACTGCTGGGGAGTCCCATACTAGGACGAAACAGCTGTCCAGTGCTCCCAGGTTTCCTTTGTTCCTCCAACTGATGTCAGTCTTCGATGAATAACAACTTGAGATCCACTTCTTTGTTTGTTTACGATAATTCTGTCAACAGTTTCTGATGACCTTGATTTGACCTTTTAGGCGTTATCACCTTGTGACCTTACTCGTCGTTCTTGATGACCTTGTATTGACCCATTTGCCACTGATGGATGTATATATTTTGTTGTAGCAATGGTCATGACGTACAGCTTTTGAAAATGATTCATCGAAAGGAGGATTTCCTTTGCTGAATCGTCTTTTATTAAAAGTATAATTTTACTGGATGATGTTTCAAAAAGAACTCGGTACTCTTACTCATATCAAAGTTAGAATTTGACTTTCAAGCTTCCTTTGTACAGTTTGACGGTTATTCATCCTTTTATCTTAAAGGTAGTAAATTTTCCATATATCTGCAATATGTGAAGAATTATTCCTGTTACATGTGATAGGTATTGATTCAATGAACAAAGATTCTGCGGCCAATCTTTCTACCTACACCTAGCTAATTTGGATTTTAGAATTGTCATCTTATCCTACCCTATAGTGTGATTATAGGTTAGTGCATGCAGAGCGATGGCCGAGTCTTCCTTCCAAATGACTTATCTTAGTAGGGTCTAAGATTGCGTCTCGCTAAATTTTTGTATTCTGCTATTCTGACTAACCCTAATCGGCTGTTTTGACCTACATACTTGACCTCACAGTAAGTACATGATGTTTGATAGATTGGATTATCTTTCTTCATTGACTCTACTGGATCTTTTAGTCCGCCAACTTTCTCTTTGAGCGAGTTTGTGGATTTAACTGCTACCCTAATCTTAGCATTGTTAAGAATTCTGCATAAAATTCCTGATATGCCTTCTTTATGCTACAACAATACAGATGATTCGAATTCCTCCTTAGGCATGTTGTAATCACCCCTAACATTATCACTTCTCTTATAGGTCCCTGTAAACTTTTTAATCAGTTCCAGAGGGTAGTTATTAAGTAGCGGTGTCTCTTTAGTGTGTTCCAACACCTTATTTAGATTTTCTGACTTACTAGTCAAACTCGTAGCTAGATTACTTAGACATTTTACCAAGCCTACCTTGACAGATATGGCGTGAAATGATGTGAAATGCAAGTATCTATTCGAATGAGTTGAATCCTATAAACACTGGTATCTAAGCTTCCATCTTCTCTCCTCTTGATTTTGGAATCCAATATAGGCAATTCTCCTTCTTCATTCTCTAATTCACTTAGAATCTGTCAAGGTAGGTTTGATATAATGAATATGCGTAATAAATTCTACTCGAAACGTCTTGTAGTAAATTATACTATATCACTGTGTAATGAATCAGATAAACAAATTTAATGTGGAACTATACTCTACCATGGTGCCCAAGTTTTGCTCTTACACTAATGTCTTATAAAGATTGATATCCCTAAGAGGATGGATTCCTCGATAACCAGTTAGTATAAACTTGTAGTAGATGCAGTCGAAAGAAATATGGATTAAAATCAACACTGATACAGTTACACATTTTATTTCTGGCTTTTTCTCACCATGGACCATTGCTATGAGACAACATAATATACGATCCTACGCTAGGATGAGACGGCATAGTTAATAAAGCATATTAGGATTATTATTCCACCTCTACTCAAACTACTATAGATAATATAAAAAACTAGCTAGACATTCACTACTGTATGCAATCTTTCCAAATTCCTAGAACTGATTTAGAAGAAATTACAAAGACAGCACACTATGCAATTAAGACACCTCTTAGGTAATATTTCACAAACGTTAGAAGTATAGTTCTTGTTGTACTCAGAGACTAGAAGAATAGACGAAATCCCAATCTTTCCTCTAATAAAATCGTAAAACTTTCTCACCTGTATAGGCTGAACAAACAAAAAAGTAAATGGTTCTCGGACTGATGATCGGTAATTCCCCAGGTTTTATACGACCCTGACACATTGGTAATAAATAATCCATGCGTTAATATTTTTTTCCCTTCACAGTAAATATATTTTACTCTTTTTAGTCTATTCACTAGTGTTCAGATTTTTGTTATTCGATTCATATTACTTCATATAGAAATCTGGCCAAAAAGACAATTCAGTGTATTTGTACGCCGTCGTCATGGCAAACTTGCTTACTGAATCAACCAATGAAATTTAAGTGAGTGATTTTGTGAAACGCTGATTTGTTTTCAGATGGTATTGATTAGTTATTTAACGGTGAAAATGTTGTGATAAGTTAGAATGTATGTTTTTAGCGAAGGGGATCGCTTCACATGGATTACTTGAGTAAAACATAGTTTAATCATGCTTAAGGATATGATACTACTTGTAGTATCCCGTGGATAACGCTTTGGTGTTTGAAACGATCAGTCGCGAGTTCGAGTGGGGACGATATCACTCACTGGGAGGCAGATATATCCAGTCGATGAGTCCCAAGTGAGGTGAAACACGCATCCTGGATTCCACTGCTAGCCACTATCCATCATTAATATCAATACTTAAAGATAGTTCCTAGAGAAACCTGAGAAAGGATGCTAAATTACCCAAGTTGACCACTTTATTTTACTTTAATGAGTAGAACGAAATTGACTTAAGGTGTTCTTGTAGTCTGCTTGGCGGCTATTAATGGAATTCAAGATGTACTTCTCGTCCTATTCAGGACTCGTCAGCTGGATTTACTTGAACCTCAGTAAGGGATGTTGTTCCCACTGAGACCCAAACCCAGTATCCATTGCCTCAAACAGCAAAGCGTCACCCAATAGGGCACAAGAGACATCACTTGGGTAACGAGTGTCATTTGTTGTTTTTTAATGCTCTTAATCTCACGTTGCTATACTGGGTCGAATTACTCGACCTTTGTTCTTTTTGATTCGCTTTGAAGCAACCCTTTTCTCTCTATTTATTTAGGGACTATATAATTTAGTTGCCAGAAGGGGGAGTGTGATTCCCATGATCTTGTATAGGGAACAAAAGCATACCAGAAGATAAAACAAGGCTGTTTTCAATCCGTAATTGGATAAACAAAATGAACTAGGCTACCACTTATTGACAGGAAAGTCCTTCATGCTTCCATTACCATGGGAAAAGGTATGAGAAACCAGTACATACTGTAAACCAGAAAATTGTGACAATTATTTTTACTCAGTAGGTTCAAGATAACCAATAGAACTTTTGAAGAACTACAACAACAACAAAGTTTTTGATAATTCACGCGCAAGTAATCATTGTTACTACTGTACGACTCATAAACTGTATACAAGTTTACCTACTAGATAGTGAGCAAAGTGAAGCGTGTAACACCCAGTAATACTTGCCTGACCAGATGTGCAGACAGAATACACTCAGCGAATCATTAACATGGTACTGAGAACATCAACAGTACTTTAGAGTATGTAGAGTGGTAGGATCAAAAGAGGTCAGCACTAACCCCTGAGACTTCGATTTACACACTAACTACGACATCTCATCACTTTCACGTCAAAAAACAATAGTTGCAGATGCTGTGTACATGTTACTGAGAAGACACTTAAAAACTAAAAAGAACTACTTTTTACTTTGTGTCAGTGGACTGACAACTTCCATCTCAGTTTTCTACCCTTAGCTGAGATTAAAGTTGTCAGTCTTCTCCAAGTAAATATTTACTGTTAGGGACTCGGTGAGTCAAATGCTCAAACGCTGGACTATGCACCAACCAAGTGCATTTTTTTGTGAATGACTACACCGTTCAGCTGCCCAAACGTAAATGACTTTGGCTTTGACCTGTTATCTAAAGAAATTAAACCCTTACAACTTCATTGAGTTGATTGCGGATTTAAGTTGTACATACTCAGCTAAGTCGCACCATAAACTGAGGTGTTGCTGACACATAATAACATAGTAGATTCTGTGTGGTAAGAAGAGAAAAATGACATCAAAGCATAGTGAACGCACACACAAATAATCGTCAGTTGGAGTGAACAAACCTCAGTAAAACTAAATAAGCCAATCGATCAATGCTAACATAGGACATGAAATTACGGCGTAAAGACACAGTTTGCCCTAGGTAGCACCAAATATCTGATTAAATTACATAATTTATCCGTTTTTTCAATCTAGGAGTGATTTTTTGAAAATTGCGAAATTTAAAATGATTTGAATTTCTGTGAGTTGTAAACAATTTATGTTAAAAAAGTTTGATTTACGTCTTTCTAACCTTTATCTCCACCTGTTCATTGGATGGTGATTGCTGTATAACAAGCAATAGGTGGTAACTCTGAACTTCATTCAACAGTAAGTTTATCGAACTCAATTCTCTGTAATAGTTACCTGATGATAATGGGGATCTTATGCTTAATGTGGAATTCATCACAAACTGACATCAGTTGGAGAACCGGTGAAGACCTGGGAGCACTGGACGAGTGTTTCGTCCTAAAATGGGACCCCTCAGCAAGATGCATTCACAACTCCCCCAGCGATCGAAGTCAGGATCGTCAGGCTACACGGTGAACGCGTTAACCATCTACCCACTGGGTTGCAACTGAATTATTCACGGTTCCCTACTTCCGTCAATCTGCAATATAACGCGACTACCACCCAAGATTCTCAGCTGGCTTTTGCTTTACTTCAGACTGGTTGACCCCACAGGTTGTGGCTTTTCATCAGAACTTCGGGATATTCATCTGGAAGCATGTCACTAATGAGCACTATACAGAAATATTTCTTGAGGTTGATGGGAATTTTAATTTTGAGGTAGTATTCACCATGGACTGACATCAGTTGGAGAAACATTTAAAACCTGGGAGCACTAGACATCTATTTCGTCCTGGTATGAAACACATCAGCAGTACGCACCCACGACCCGGCTAGGGACCGAACTGAAGACCTCTGTGAAGAAAGCTACCTTAGAAATATTAGATATTGACTAACATTACCTACTACCGAGACTTATTGATTCATGAATTCCCTAATTCACGTTCAATATGTGAGAGTTGAAAGTCAATACAAATGTACTCCTGTTAACAGATCATTTTAGTAGACGCAATATACACAATGTTTACTCTTGAATTAATTCCTTAAAGAAGAAATGATTTAATATGAAAAAGGATTTATTTGTCAACTAAGAAAACAAACAAACAAAAGAGTTATGCTGACATGCAGAATTTATCCCTTTCATAATTATATCTTTATATTTAGTGAAGTGCAATATAGAAAGTTAAACTGTGAATATTTACAAGAAGTACACTTAGCCGGGACTTTATAAATGCAATAACTATACAAAGGATTATAACCTGGAATCTTTAAAAAAAGAACTCCAATGAACAGTAGAACAATCATCATGAGGCTGATTCAGTAAAATGTTAGAAATCACCAGATTACTATTGCTAATATTCTTAATATAGAGTGATTTTAATTCCTTTATTGTAGTTGACCGTTGAATTGTACAAAAATCAATAAAGTGAATAGAATCCCATTCTTCTGAATTGAACAACTTTTCCTCTGCAAATGATTTATGTGGAAATTTAAATGATTGACTAAGTTTCCACTGGTCAAGTAGAACAAATTTAACACGACTAACTTGACCACTTGAAGCGACTGCAAGAACACTCCATTCACCTGAAATGTGTGTAGAGACACAATTAGTTATAACTGTACTTTTGATTAGACTTGTAGTGATGTATAAATCAGGCATAGCTAACGAGTGCATTGTATGTTCATTTTGTACAAGTGGTAATGTCAGTTGATTTGAACAAGGTATACCCAAAGGGTTGATTAAAGTGAATACAACTGAAGTTTTATACGTTCTATGGTCAGAATTGCCTTTCCACAATATCAAAACAGTCAACTGATCTTGTAAAGTTAAAAAACGTGGATAATTGCGAAATATCTGTTCCTTGATATCAAAATTTGAACTTATCTACACGAATGAGGAAAAAAACAGCAGGAAGAACTCATTGAGGTGGATAGTTTTTTTAAAAATATCAAAATTAGTATTGTACAGAAGAAGGTTATTGAGATGCTTACAAGCTGAAGTAATGATAGAAAGACGGCATCTGAGGATAGATAGTTTCAATACACTAGAATACTGTCTACATACCTCTATCTCTCCCCATTAGGGGTGATAGGTTTCATAAAAAGTCATTTGTCAATCTTAGGCGTCCCACTTAAACCAAGAGCTACTAAAAATGTTTTCCACCGAATATATTTCATCAAATTCCTCCCTTTCAGTTTGTTGAAATCTTTTCAATACATCTTCTGAATGTATCATGTACTTTCGCACCTTTTAAAAATGCGTTTCTCAAGTTAAGGAAACAAAGAAAAAAACGTCATGCCGGATGGAAATGGATATATAAATGCTCAAAAATACAGCACAGTACTATTCCTAGGATACCTATATCAAATTGCAGTTTTTTGTTATGGCTGACTGGACTACCACCACCAAAATTACACTCGATTTCCTATTCATCTCACAGTTTAGACCAGATGCTAATGTAACACCAATTGCCTGTTTTACATTGCTGCTTTTAATACTGTTGCTATTATTAACAATATTCAAATGCGAAAATTATTTCTTTAAAAAATATTGCATAGGAAGTGTGTTTGTTGAAATATTACTTGCTGAGAACTTCACATTATGTCACATATATTGTTTGGAATAAAACGATTATTATATATAAATATTATACATTACTCCTATTCACTGTGAAAGGATGTATATATGCACAAGTTTTACTCATTTTTTCAGCTACTTCTGCTAGCCGGAGTTGGGAACAGTTAGGAAGTAGGTGGTCATCATTCGTTGCTTGGTATTCAGTCAGTATTCTTGCATCACACAAGTGTCCAATCATCTAAGCCACCAAACTTCTTATCAGCACACTTCACCATAGGTTATATCAACAGAGGAAGATTTAGTGTGTACGAGTTGCATCTCTCATCATCCCAAAGCAGTAATACTTTTTAAAACATAACTGGGTTACATATTAGGTGCTGCATTATGCCATGTGGCATAGGTAGTAGACAAATTCAACAGGTGGCGGGCTGATTTGATCCTATAAGAAAAAACCGCTAAGCATTATGACATCTCATCGCTTATAAATTAGTGATCTAGTCACTTAACTTCCTACCAAGGAGCTTAAATTTTCTCCGTTTACTTATATTTGACAAGCTGGACAGCACCACTTGCCTACACACAGTAGTTGAGGTTCAAAGCCTAGTAAAGTGGGTTTGCACCTGCTTAATTGGCTAGTGAACGACTGTTTGATGCGCCCATCAGTTACTTGTTAGGAAAGTGTATCGTCCTTTAGTTTAACAAAGAAAGTAAAGTAAATGAAAGTTAACATCCCTTATATAAATTAAAAAAGAGACAATGATGGCTGTAAAGAATACAGAGTTTCCATGTGAAAGCATGAGCAAATATGGAAAGTATTCATGTCCACATTAAGCATCCTGTTTTTAAAACTTTCGTGTCAGTTCGACATAAATAAGAGAGTTTTACTCCAATTTTCAGGTTGCCTCTCAATTCCAGGCTGGAACTCGTCTTGCTGGACGTCAATAACCAAGAACCTGCGTGATTGGTCGCCTCACCAAGCAGGAAACATTACGGCAACGCATCCACGTGAAAACGAATACTCCTGCCAGAGCACTCTACTAACGCTCCTTCAAAACTGATCGGTGATTGCAGAAGCCCTCCCAACTGTCAGGCTTCAATGCATCCATATTCGCCGGGTAATCTGATCGTTGATCGTACTAAATTCCCCGTGGGCAGACGTGCATCGGATGCATCTCACTGAAGTCTCTGCAATCTTGCAGAAGAGATTCGTCTCTCCTTCCTGGAAAATTATCCCCTTGTGACCAAAACTTCACAACTGGGGACTGCTGTCAGGCTATCTTTAAGAGCAAGGCTATAGCGGAATGGTACCCGGCATTCTTGACCGAACACTGCCTACCTTCTTAAGGCTAACTATGCCATCCCTTTTGGGACTGCTTCATTAACAGTGACTACCAGAATGAAGAAGCTGAATTTCCTTACCTTTCAGTTGCACTGCTCCAAACACACTAGGCGGAATCTTGAAGGTCAGCTGCTTTGAACAACCCGCATCATTGACCAGCGTAT